ACTAACTGGGAGTCATCTTCTAACATGACTGAAACACTCAACGCTAACTATCCATTCTGTCTCCTATGTTGTTGGCTGCAAATTAGAGTTACAATCTTTAACAGGCAGGAAAAGGCAGCCGAGTACTCCAGCTATTGCTGTTCCACAGCAACTTCCACCAAATAAGAGAACGAGCAGAGATTGGAATTGGGGATTCCAAGAAAAGAAACTATAATAGGAAACTGAGGAAAGAAATCCATCTACAAATGAGCCAGAAAGCCTCACTTAGTGAAGTGGTGATCACAGGATTTAAGTTTGGGTTAAGCCCCTCCCCCCACAACCCAACAAAAAATTAATTGCAGGGACAGGATCTTAATGTTGTTCACTTATAATAAGCTGGCATTTTCTGTACATAGATGACAATATGTAGAAAACATTCACTCTAATAACCTCTTTAAAATACAGTATGCTAGGAAGTCCAGTCTGAGCTGAAAGCTCACATTCTAAAGGAAGGAGAAAAGAGCTGGAATTATGTGATTCGAACTGTTATTTTCACTCATGACCTTCCCAGTCCCCTGATGTAATTCACATTCATATTTTAGTGTGACTGAAGCAGAGGAAGGAGTTTTGAGTTAGTTCTAATTATTTAAGCGATGTATTCAAGAAAGGGTATACCCTTTTTTGTTTTAAGTCACTCGTTAAATCAGTTTCATTAATGAAAAACGTAGTTTTAGATCTTTACGGTCGATTGCTCTCTTCCAGTAGACTTGCTGCTTCTATCTACTTCAAATGAGACTAGAAGCTTGACATGGAGAGGTATATTCCTTCAATGTATAAGTTACACTTCATTACTTACTCCAGACTGAGGTGACACAGCTGTCTGTTGACCCGCAGTAGCTTGTGCCACAGGACCATTTGTGACACTATTCATATTTGCACTGGATGCTTCAAATTTGACATCTTCTAGGCCAGGAATAGAGGATAACTGAATGTACAAAACATCATCACATAAGCAATGAGCATATCATAAGCCTATGTGTACAATAAAATCTGCAGTATGCTGCTTACCACATATTCCCCAGGTAGGTTTCACATTAGTAAAATCGTAACTTTTTATCACTAGTTTTGGTATTTTGATTGGGGGGAAAAAAAAAAAAAAAAGATTTTTATATTCTTCTACAACAAAAAACCCAAAAGGCTCCATTGGAGCTTTTACTGTTAACACCGGGTTGCAGTGCAGGAAAGGCTTCAACACCTTCCCAGCATTTTGCTACTGCGCTTACCAACCACACAAGAGCTGTGCCATCTTCTCGGCTACTTCCTCTACAGTGAAAGAAATCATGACAAGAACAGCTCTCTTACCTAACAGATGGGTGACTGGTTACAGACTTTGCAATTTTCTACACCTTTCACTCTCTTTTCAGGAAACGCTGAGAGTGGATATTAAATATGCCGCGTATTCATTTGAAGGAAATTCTATTTAACTTGATTATGAAGAATTCTGCAAAAATTATCAATACTGATAATTTCTAAATATTTTGAAATACGAGTTAGTAAGCACTGTTTGTACTACTACAGTGTTTTTTTACGAAGATCTTAATGAACAGTTTCAAAATACCCTACCCCAGCTCCCAGAAAAGCCAACTGAAATTGCTTCCACCGTTATTGAAAGAAGGATTGGTTATAACTTTGCAGGGGGTGGTTTTTTGGTTTGGGCATTGTTTTTTTTTTTTTTTTCTTTTAGCAATACATGACAGTAAGTTATCTCCTGTTCTCATTCTAGCTAAGAAGATACACCCGACACATTTGTGTTAGCTTAGATCCAATTCAGGTCACATTTCAATATCAAATGGTTTACAAGGCATCTATCTAGTTACTTATACCAGTTGAAATCCTTACAGTCTGCTAACACTTACAAAGATATTTTTGCTTTACAAGAGGGGTAAAAATTTCTTATTAGAGTTTGCATGGCAAATGCAATTTCGCACTGCAACCCTGCAACACAAGTTGCATATTTTAATATTGGAAAACTTCCCTCCATTTTCTTACAACCAAACATTGCGATAAAATCAACACAAGTAAGCTGCCACGTAGTTCAGTTGCCCTTTTAAGATCAAAGTGCTCCTTTCTGTTCAATATGCTTAACAGAGACAAAACCAACATTTCCACTATGTGCTGTTGGTTCCTTTCTTCCGTATCAACTACATGTTCAAGTGTTACACAATGTAAGTGGCAAGGCATGCAAAGAGAATTTGCCATGTGAGCATTTTGTATTGGCTCCTTCCAACCATTATGAAAACTTATTTGCTCAATTCAGACTACGAAAAGGAAGCTAGTTTATTTAACCTAGGAGGGTGTCACTGTTAGAGGACGAAGTCTGTACACATACAAACCTTTGCATCCAAAATATTGAGTGTTGTTTCAATTTGTTGGATACGAAGAGAGAGCGCTGACAATTTCTAAAACAGAAAACAATTAGCGTGTGAAAACATTCCCCTAGGCCACTTGTACATATAAAACAGTTCACATCTAGCTAAACAAAATCACTTTCGTCTTCTACCTGCTGAAGGCAGGGCAGAGTGTAAATGAGATGGTAACATTATGAAATAAATGAAGCAGTGACATCCTTTTCTAGTACAGTAGCTACAGTGGTTAAAATTTTAAATTGTTTCACTAGGCAGTTAGTTTTCCCAAATAATGACTGACGGAAATGAAGACAGACTATGTAGAAAAGAAAGCCAAAGTAAATAGGGTATTACTCTGAGCAACTGGAGAATAATGGTAGACATATTGTACTCTTACAGTTATCAAAACATCTTTATTCAAAGCATTTTCCAAATGTGGAAGATGAAAAGATGTGGTATGTGTGGATGTAACTGAGCAAATACAAAGTAGAAAAATCTGACAAAGAATACAGCAGGTGACTGAAAGTCATAGTCAAAGCGCACAGTGAACCAGAACTAACCAGAAGCTTTATGTGCTCCAGGTGCACCTCTATCAGATTTTGACACTTTTTTTTTTTTTTTAAAAAATACAACTTAAGTTTTTCTAAAGTACTCTGTAGGAACTGTCACTCTTTTAAATAATCACTACCATACTCCACCAGACCTGTCCAAGTGAAGTTGGCTAGCACGCTGGCTGGCAGATATGTACCACTCTGACAGCTTTCTGGCACGTTGGCAAGATTCTGCCTGGCTCTGAAGCAGAACTTTAACACCCTAAGAAAATGGCAGTTCTGCCAATATGCTAGAAAAAGTAAAAAGAGACTGACAGGAGTTAGTCTTTTTGGATAGTGCACTGACTTGTTTACAGATGGCTCTTTGTTCATGAAGAGGAGCTAGTTCCTACTGAAAGGAATGATGTGCCCTACATGTAGCTGGGGAAAGGGGATGAAAGATGTGCAAGACAGTTATATAACTTTACAGGTCAATTTGACTAGACAAGAGCCAAGGAATTTAGAGTTAAGGACGGTGTCAGCCTTAATTTTGAATTTCTTGGCTTCTGTTGAGTTAGACTGGGACCTGTCACATTAAAACCAGTCCTGTACTTCATAAATTCAAAAAACTTTTCAAGGAATTTATAAAGTCTCTTGGGTAACAACATGTCTAGGTTAACTAATAATTGTTTAATTAGCTAGACTTCACAGCGTTGCTGCGTGCTCAAGATGGCTTTAAACATATGTGTTCTGATTTCCATAGTGCCTCTGTAAGAAGTAATATCGAGATCACGTGACAACTGAGTTTTGGACAACTGACAACAGCATCACCAGGCAGTCACACTGTCCCATGTATCAAGTTACAATGAGTTTAAAACTCTAGAAAAAAAATTACTTTTTTTTTTTCTCTGAAGCTCCATATGCTGATGTGGTAGCCAAATTTTATACTTGTCATGGGTCTGGCTCTGAACTTCACTAACAAATAACAGAATTTCTCAGATTACATGGTTTAGTCTAATTGGATTTGACTGATGCCCTAGCCCTGCTGGCTAGGGCTATATAGCAGTCTTTGTTGAATAAACTAGCGAACAGTTACAAAAAAACCACTAATGACAAAAAGGTTAAGCGCAAAGCCACATTAGAAAACACCCTTTCTACAAGTGAGGAAGCACTCTCATCCTGTTCAGTGGACAATTCTTGTAGTGTCAGTCTGGTATATTTCCATTCATACTAAAGTCACCGTAAAAACTTGGTGACACTAAACATTCATATTTTCCTGGTTTTCACAAGATAGTAAAATTAACTGCTTCAGGTTCCATACTAATCACTTGCCAAAAAATGTCGGGTCTTCCGTACCAAAATTATTTACATTCAGAGCTTAGTGTATCACCCTTTTAAATTAACAGTGGTAAAATCTGAAAGCAAGTTTTGATGCAACATCCTAGGACATGGATGAGGGGGACACTGACTGTCAAAATGCATTTGGCACCACAGGAATACAGCATCCTACTTCCAAAATAAGACAATATCCACAGATAGAGCTGCCCAGAACAAATTCCATGCATCAAAAGTTCAAAGACTGTGCTAAATTCGAAAGTTTAAGGAAGCAGGATTAAGAGTGGTATAATCAACAGTTCATGTAGAACTTAAGCACTTACTCAAGAGAAATCTTGAACAGAAAGCAGACTAAATTTTTTAGTTTAAGCTACCAGTATTAATTCATCAAAAATATTGAAGTGAATGGGTCTTATTTCTAAGATTTTTTCATTGTAAAAATCAACAGCTAGGAAAATAATAACATACCTCTTCACAAACAGTAGAAAAGCGGTTGAGAAACTGCACTGTGTGAACCACAAACTGGTTTAGAAATGCTACAGTTCTTTTCTGCTGAATAGCAGGAACCTGCATTAAATAAGAAAATTAAGATTATACATAGATGTCAATTCTTATCTTTGGATTCAAAGACCAGCTAAAAAATGAAAATGTTTTAGAAGAAATTATTTTAGAAATCTGCCTTAAGTGTGCTTGCTAGAAATACACATCTATATACAAAAAAAATTTTCAATACATATACTTATACATGTATACAAATCCTTTCTCACTAAAAATCTACTAACATGACAGTTGAAAAGTAGCAGGGTACACAGAAAAGGCAACACAATCCACAAAAATGAAGGACTGTTATCTTATTTAAGAAAACACTTTTGGATGAAATTGTGAACGTTCCTGAAAAAGCTACGGTTTTTTTGAACACAGAGGAAATCAGAATCTTTCCTTCTGAAGCTCAAGAAGGAAAAGAAAACTTTGTCATCCATACAAATACTCAGTTACCAACACCACCATAATCAAAAATAGAGAGTAGTGAAATTTCTCTCAGTCTTTAGGGGCTACCTATACTTTTTATTTGCAAGCCCAGACTATCCTAAAATTAGTGCTACTCCTCCAAGTCAGATCCAACACATACATACTTTTCAGACTAAAAAGTAGAATGTTATGTTTGTCAAAAAAAACCCCCAACCCTGTGCTCATAACGTAACAGACAGTTGGCATTTTTATTTAAAATGTTACACAAGTCTGGAATCAGGAACATTCCCAGAAATGTTTATGCATAAAATCATCGTGCCTCAGGGTTAATTAACTTGGACAGTTGTTTAAGTCTTAAACTTCACACAGGAAATTACTCTATGGAATTGTAATTGGTTAAAGGGAAGGATTTACAAGGAAAAAGATTTGCAGCCAAGCTTCAGCTGCACTGAACAACAGTTTGTGAATATAGCAACTCTCCAGTCTTCACCTCTTGTTTGGTCTTCCATTTGTCAGCGTAGCCATTCACTACACTTTGCAGATCTTAAGACATCCTGGTTTTTTTGCGAGATTGTTGTTGCTACTATGTCAAATTTTCAGTCTGTGCACCTGTATGGCAGGGTTTGCTCAAGTTCAATTCTGTAGTTCCAAAACTGTGAAACGGTGCTTACAACCGCAGCAGAATTTACGGGGTAGCACAAAGGACGGAGCGATCACTGGAGCAATTAGAACTGGCCTATCTTTATGCTCTCTATTTAAGAAACAAAGCTAAAACCCCCCTTGTTGCGTCATTAAAAGCCATGAATAAGCAGCTTTGCACGGGGTTTGGCTCACAGTTCTGAGCATAGCCTTTAAACACAGCGCTCTCGCAGGACCTGCAGCAGAACGCCTTGGGGC